AAAATGTATATAAATACATATGTAAATAAATATTGAATTGGTAGGTACAGTGTCAGAATTATAAATGACAATTAGATTGGAAATTTACTAGATAATAATAACAGTATTCCAAAGTTTAAATTATTATTATTATAGTTTCATTATGTTAAACCTAGTATGAAAAGGTACCTATTTTAGATTTTTTTTTAATACAAATATTGTTTAGCAAAGAATAAGGATTATTGTTCAGCAATAGAACTCACTAATTCTGTACATCCTCCCCCGCTGTGTCACCCCGTTATCAAAACTGATCCCTATGCTGCTGCATGTTGATGCACAGAATGACCAATTTTTGCTGGTATTCAGCATATTCTCTTACTGGACAGAGTATAAATGTTTGTAAATATTTATTAGTCATTTTTTTTTTTTTGATATTTTAAATTTTTTAGTTTATTCTTTATTACATACATTTATATAGTATTTGATGGATATCGTTAAAAGCTTAAACTTTTTATTACCTAGCTGTAAAAATATATTTCTAATCAAACACCTACCTAATACTCTGTTTAGAAATAAAAATGTACTTAACTACCTACCTCATAAATTTATTATAAATGATAAATCTCATAAATWAAAAATTAAACATTATAGTATTGATTCCATTTTTGTGTCATAAAAACACCTCCATAAAATATGTTCAGATGGTATTTAGATTTTCTCCTACATATTATAATGTAATTTTTATAATATTCATTAAGAGATACCAGGGTTTCTTGTTAAGTAATTTTTTCAATGATAAATACTTATTAGTTATCACCTCGGTTATCACTTATATGTATGTTTAACTAGATATAATATAATATTTTGGTGACAGTTTCATTCAAGTTTTATTTTTATGTTGCTTAAACTTCTACTTTTGGTAGGTACCTAGCTTCCTTTTTAAAGAAATTATAGCTGAATTCAATTAATTTTAATAATTAATTTTGAATTCTTAAACATTATTTTCATTCTAAATTTCAAAAATTATCTTATTCATAGTTACTTAAAAATATATCAACTGATGGGATTTTTTTTTTAATTGTACCTACAGAGGATCCAAAACAACATTTTTGATTTTAATTTTACATATTTTTTATGGTCTTAAATAATTTAGTTTTTAAATATAATTCTTGAGCAACAATAAGTAGCCTATTGAAATTGTATTATTTTAAATGGAATAATTTAGGTTAAGATACCTAAATAAATAACAGTTATTTTCTAGTTCTGTGTTAGTTAATTAAATGCTCGTAATTTATAAGTATGTTTCTATTTAATTTAATCCTWATCATTTTTAAAAGTATTTAAAAAAAAAATTTAATTGTAAATATGAGGTATCTTATTATTATTGTAATTAAATATTTTTTAATAATATTTTTTAATGATTACAAATATTATAAGTGTCAATTGATAATATTTAATATGCATTTACATCTATATATTATTTTTCCACAACTAATGTGCATTAAAAATATTTTAAAGCAAATTGACACATCATAAGTAGGCAAATATGTTTATTAATTGTTTTGTAAATCTTCAAAGATAAATAAATTAAGATTTCAATTACAATGAATAAATGTATGAATAAATAAAGAATGGTTGAAATATTTTTAGGTAGGTGTATTATATGTGCAATATATTACACTTAGGAGTTAGGATAGTGTGGATTATTTTTATTTTGTATTGCATAGTTTTCATTATTTTTTTAAAAATATTTTTTCCAGAGGACTGGATAAGTACCTAACTGAAAACCTGGTACTCTGGAGCAGGCCTGTAGCCAGACCAAATTTGCAAGTGGGGCAAACAAAATTTTAGGGGACATTATATTTAATAACAATATAAATTTATAAAAATTTTAGAGGGGACAACAATTGTGTTTAAGTGGGGTAAGGCCTCCTAGCTACGGGCCTGCTTSAGAGATACTCATTTTGGTCTTATGATATCATAGTATTATTGTATGAGTTTAATTAATATTCTATAAATCAAATAGATACATAAGTAGATTTCAAGCTATCTTTTCTCTTAACAACATAACATAATATGTACCTAAACTATTAATCTATATTAATGATCATGAGCAACCAAAAGTGCATTTTCCGAAAAGTTTTTATTCCAATGTTTGAACAACCAAACCTAGAATAAATAATTCAGATGTAAAGCCATCCATGAATATTATTTTGATTTCAGTTATAGAAGGTTAGTGAAATTAAAACAATTAAGCTATTTTTTCTCATTCAAAATTAAT